TCACAACGGCTAGACGAACATTTTCTCACTTTAACGTTAGGGTTTAGGGTTTAGCGACACGTTTTTCGAGAAATAATTTTATATTATTTAAAAGTTCTCAGTCGCTACACTTCCGACTAATGATCTTTCCACTAACTTCGATTGGAGAGACCATATTATCGTTACGCCAGTAAAAAGTCATGTTCGTTCAGTTTAGTTACAACTTTTTTATTGGAATATCTTTTTATTTAGTAGAATCCTAATGAAAATAACCTGTTGAACCTAAATTGTATCAATCCTTCAAAAGGAATTATATTTCAATTTTAAAGCTCTCGTGTTACCTGGGCATTCACTTTGAATCTATGTTTAATTTGGTAAATCTCTGCATATGATTCTCGCCACTGATTCTCAAATGTGTAAACTAGGTTCCCATGGATCATGCTAGTCGTTTAGCACCACGAGAGCCCTGGAAAGTGCCAACTTTTTCTCCACCGGAAAGCTTGTAAGCCTCAGTAAGTAGCAGCTTGTATATTGTGATTATGAGGTACGGCTTTTTAAACCTCTCTCTTAATCTTAGCCAGTTGGCCTTTCAATACTATTTCTTATCTTCCATTAGCATGATCAGACACTTCAATTTTGGGTCTTTTTTTTTTCAGTATTTTGGTTGACCTTCACAGTGATTTCATTAGGCGTGCACAACATGTTACATATTCTTCATATTCATTTCATTAGCTACTTCTGGTGAAGTTTGTCTCCTATATAAGAATGTTATGATGTTTTTCATATTTGAATTTTGGTTCAATGCACACCCTGTTACATATTCTTCATATTCATTTGGCAACTCGTCAAATACAAAGAGATTGTGTCCATGTTCTATTCAGCAGTCGAGTTTTTGGGTGTTCTTCTACTGGTGGATATATGTATATCTTTAATTCAGTTCTTTTAGCATTTTGTTGTATTTATCAGTTATAATGACAGACAATAGTTACAGCTACCTAAAGAGTACACATCTTCATTTCACTGCACGAGATGGTTCATTGGACTATGTCCGGAATTGCTTGCTTGAAGTGCTGATTGTCTTCAAAAAGATTCCTTTGGGTGAGCCATGAAACTTTCTCCCAAACAAATGGATATCCCTGGAAGTCACTTAAATAATTCCACATAGAAGCTGAAAATTAATTGTTTTACTGGTTTAAGTATTGTAGTCAAAATCAAATATTGGTAATTCTCATCTAGGTAATTGAGAATTTTGGAAAAATATTCGGATAGCTAAACTGGGCAATTTCATTTCTCTATAGAATTCTTTTGAGACTAACGAACCAATCCGTTATACATACTAGAGATATCGTAGTCAACGAGCAACTAAGGACGAAAGGTTCAAGATAAGTAACCTACAAACTATTTTTTCTCTTTACTTTTATGGTGAAATAGATGGGGAAATTTTGAGATGTTCACCTTATCTTATTGAAAGTAATAAAAGCGCAAATCGATAAAAAAAATTCTTTCAAATTTGTTCATTTTGTGTTCATATGCTCGTTTAAAGCTAAATGATTGGATTAAATTGCTTATTATGATTTTTGGAGCTTCAATACGATATAAAATTATTTTTCAAATTTCTCTCATAATTTTATGCTGTTCTATTTCCTTTCATAGACCAATGTACTAGATTTTTGCCATTCTTTAATAGATTTAAGCAGTGTTAATTGAAAGTGGATAAATTAATAAGTAAAGTAGTTTCCTTATTCTTTTAAGTAATTTTTGGTTTTTCTCTTTCAAGTATCATGCTCCCTCATTTGAGAAACTTTTGAGAAAGTCCAGAGGAAAATAACATGTTAACAATAAGGTTCAATAGGCTCACTTGAAAGGAACCGGTGAATCGAAGAATAGGAAATGGAGTTACCACTTCAAATATCTTCAGGTTCTTGACTTGTTAAATCTCCCCTTTGAAGGTCAAAGTTAAATAATCCAATATCCTTGAGTCAGAATTATACACGAAATGGTCCAGTACTAGATAACTTCCTCCACATCGGTTTGTCATTTGGATTTACGTCAATTCCTAAGGTCGTATGAATATAGTCATTAAATATTCGCCGTGATTATTAAATTCTAATTAACTGTTGCATTTCCTACTTTCAGGAAACCTTGTTCAGGCTATCATCAACTAAAGAAAATGACTGACAGCAAAATATTTGCAGCTGATGGTGAAAATGGGGAATT